AAAAAAAAAAAATGGATATTTCAGTTCAAGACAGTCAGTCCCAGAGGAGTTCCCTTTTCTGCTGAAAGGGTCAGACTTCTTGTTCTATTAAGGCCTTCAACTGATTGGATAAAGCCCACCCACATTAGGGAAGGAAATCTGCTTCACTCAGTCCAGTCTACTAATTCAAATGTTAATCTCATTATAAAACATTCTCATAGATACAGTTAGAATAATATTCAGCCATACATGTGGGCACCCTAGGGCCCAGTCAAGATGATGCATAAGATAAACCATTAAATCCTTGGAGTCCAATAGTTAATCAGTGGTATCACTTTTGCTAATGGAATGAATACAGGTTCTCACATTATGAGTTGCACTTATATCTGTTTCTCTAAAAATTATGGATGCCTTGAAGGTGAGAATAATGTCTTACTCCTTTCAGATCCAGAGTACACAGTGCAACTTCAGTAACATATTTTTTGAGTTCTAATTCTGTGCTATGCAGAGTGCTAGGGGTACAGCAGTGAATAAAACAGGCCAGGACCTTGTCCTTAGAGAGCGCAAATGTAGATGAGAGAGATTTAAAAAAGAAAAATATATATGATATTGTGAAGAGGTTTAAGAATAAAGCAGGACAAGGGATGGGGAGGGAGGGAGAAGTGTCATTCTGTGTAGATCCTTGAGAAGGCTTGAATAAATACCCAAACAGACGAAAGAATTTATGAATAAAAGTATTGGGAAGGTTGAGCGAGTGTGCTGGGGCAACCAGGAATTTGGAGCAGTGGAAGGCCACCTCCCCAGTCCGGGGCATCAGCTCAACTAAGTGTTAGTTCTCAGCTCTGTCTTGTGCAGTATCCTTTCCCTCCTTCGCTCCCATTTCTACAACTTTTCTTAGAGAGTGAGTGGGCACAGAGTGCCTTTTCTTAAGGGACTTCCTCACTGGGGTAAGTTTTAAGTCAACTTTATTACTACATTGACCTTCTTCAACATGAGGGCTTGGGGCCAGTTTCCACTTCTGAAGAAATTGCTCTAAAAGTGGCACTCTGGAGACTCTTCAGTAAATGAAGATAGACTTGGCAAAGAAATTCCAAGCCCACAGGCAGATAATTAGGAGAGATTTTCAAAGCCTAGGGGGAAATCAAAGACCATTATGTATGTATGGTTTGCACTAAACCATTTTATTACAAATTGAGCTCCATACAGCTGTGCAGCAGTTGGAAAGGAAGAATGAACTTCTAAGGAAAGGCTAAAGCCACATGGATGCCAACCTTCCAGTAGCCTACAGGAGCCACACATACGTCATGTTTCATGGCTTGCCATGAGTAATTTCAAAAGCCAAAATAGGTAGTTTTGTTGCAAGTTTCAAGAGAGAAATGATGATGTAGCAACTGAGGGCAGGGGGAAACACCAAAACTTTCCTCTCTCTTAAACTTCTCTATTCGATTCCTCACTCTTGATAGGGATGTAGTAAAAGGAATAAGATTTGTGTCGAGTCATCTAAAGCCTTTGGGAAACTTGGCAGAAGAGTCTGGACTTGAAACCAGGCAGGCCTAGAAATGTAATTTAATTCTGTGTGATCTCAGGCGAGTTATTCAGACTCTCAGAGCTCCACTTTCCTTGTCTGAAACTTATCTACTGTGAGGAGTTGTTGTGATTAATATGTGAGACAGGGTGAGAAAAGTACCCAGCACATGCTAGGTGCTCAATGAATAATGGGAAGGAAGTTAATAAGAAGTTAATAAGAAGCTCAAAGAACTTTTATCATAGTTTCTCTTGTTATTGCTAATAAAGATAATATCAAAAAGTTCTTTGTCAAGAAAAGGGATCACAAATGTCTTTGCTAAGCCTGCAGTAGGACCTAATTTTATGATTTTTGTTGGAACAAAAGAATTATGGCAAACTGAAGGGCTCTGTCCCATCTAAAGGGGGCAGCTGAAGGATTTAAACCTGATAGAAGAGGTATAAACACATCCACCCTCCCCATCTAAAGGTAGCTACTGGAGGGCCTGAGCATCATTTAAAGGGGACAGTTGGTATTTAGCTCTATCTGGAGGTGGTGTAGACTTAGTATTGGCAGATTTTTTTTCTTTTTTAAGAATCCGCAAATTTACATTTTTATGTGAAATTTCCAGTCTCATAAAATGTCTCATAACTTAATTAACAAACATGTAGGCCACAAAGCGTGTCTGCAGGCTGGATGTGGCCTGTGGGCCGCCGATTTGCAATTTCTGGAAGACACACATTCCACAATAACGGTCTCATTCCTTGTATAGTAAGTTATTTTAGTTTGAAAAATAATTCTTCAAATAGTTCTACACAGAGCAAAGAAGTCAACATATAAATAAGTCTCTTCCTGTATATTTCTTTTTCTAGGAAATGAAAGGACAAAAATAACCTCAAGAACCTAGACTGGAGTTCCCAGTTACTTCCTCAAGACTGGGCTGATCACTCATTAGCATGCATAGTGAGACAAGCTGCTCTCTGCCAATATAGCTGTTTTCAGGTTGTGTGCCTTAAAATGTGATGCTCCCGCACACTTTCCACGACAGCACAGAGAGGTAAGGTATTAATGAGCATTCCACAAAATTGTTGCCTTCAGATCTTAAAAGAGAGGGCAGAAAGAGCTTAGAAGAAATTATTTTGGTTTTAAATGATCTTCCTAAAGGCTTCAGATGAGCTTTATAGCAACAAAGAATGCTCCAGAGGAAATGCCAATTGGAAACTATCAGTGGCTGAAAAGTATTTTAATTAACTTGTTCCACTCCATTTCTGAGCTTAGCGCAGAGGAAGAAAAGGAATTTTATTTCAATATCAAAAGTTACAGAGAGTGTTAAGCTCCCATTTTTGATTGACAGCCTCCTACACCATCACACACCCTAAAAGTAGCAACTATGAATTTGGACTATTTGTAAAACCCACGAGGTTTCTAGAGTATGTGACAATCCAGATATATGTGCCCCGTTCATCCACAGAAGCCGTTTCTTGCTGAGGAAATGTACTGTGACATCCATTTTGATAGGTAACAGGCACATTAAGATAGAATTACCTCCGTTAGAATATGACTGTGATAATGACCACAGGAGGCCCTTAGACCAGAACTACTGTAGGACATCAGTAAGAAACATGCTCGGTTCCCTTAATGACACAAACAAGGATTTGTTCAGAATTGGCAGGGGGTAGTTGATGATTGACACCTCTTCCCAAGGTGTCTGAGTGTTGAGCAGCCATATCTTCACTAAATAATTGCTCAACGTGTAACTGTCTAAACAGTGCTGGGCAAGTATTTGGTCTGAAGTCTAACTTTATAAATTGGCAACCTCAGTGACATGCAACACAAGTTAATCACCACAGTCCTATTCATTCCAGACGATATAGGATTTCTTTCCCTCTGAAAATATTAGGTTAGGAAATACCAATGAGGATCTATAAAAGGGGCAAAAAATTATTCTATCAAAATGAAGTTTCAAAGATTTGTTATAAAAAATTAAAAGATTCTCTTTTTACCAAGAAAATTAATATTTTTGAAGTTAAATTTAGAACTTGATACACACACACATATACACACACACACAATAAAGGGCATTTTGATAAGGTACATAGAAGCCTTTGAAAGGCAGTCACTAAAATAAAATAATGCTACCATGAACGAGACCATCAAACAGAATTTCTATTTGAAAAACTCACCTTCAGTGCCTTCCCTTTTCCCCCCACTTCCTTTTTGTCTCCTAAGACCCTCTCTCTAGCCTCATAATGGCCCCAATGGGATTGACAACATCTTCATTTGAGAAAGGCTTTCTGGAAAGGATGAGTCAAATTTAAGAGAGTGTGAGTTGAACTTTTTGCAACCATGCCCCCTGGGCTTATCATGTTCCCAAGATATTTCATAATCTCAACTGGTCAACATGACAGTTGACTGGGATGGCAGAATTCCAAGGAAAGCTACAGCTGTGGTTTCCCTTGAAAGAGCACCCCCACCCCCTGACAGATGTAAGTACTTATTTTCAGAGTATAATTTAAAAGGATGGTCAAGACACCACTTTGCAAGCTCATAAAGATCTGCTTGCCCATTTGGGTAGAAGAGGGAAAACAAATTCTAATTGGAATAGCAGTCATATTTCAATGCAGATTATTGCACTCTACTCAAATATCTGCTGTCACTTCAATTAGAATCAATGGTCTTCTTTCTTACCAATCCCCTCAAATGTGTAGGTTGCTATGACCTGACAAGAATGTATTAATTTTTTTTAAATAGAGATAGATACATCACAGCAGGAGGCTAAGTGATAGAGCTAACAGTTAATTCTTGCTTCATTAAGCCAAGCCAAATAATTCTCTTTAAATGAAGAAACCCATCCTGCTTCCCAGTAAATATTCGGTATTGAAGCAGCAATGAGAGCTCATGCTATGTAAACCTTGCTTCTCTTTAGGGGCTCCTCGGGCATTTCCACTAATGCCCCACTAAGAAGCATTTGAAAATACTAGATGCGCAAAATAATCTTGGTGAAATCGCTTCTTAGAGTTTGTAATTTTAAAAACGTGTGCGCTCACTCTCTTGATCAATCACGAAAATGCTATAATCCTCTATGGGCCTCCCAGCTGTTAGTATGAATTAGAAAGTTCTACAGAATAATCTCCACAGGTCATCTCAGAGAAAGTGCCTGGGTTTTTCAGACTAAGTGCACATTGGATATATAAATCATTATCACTTTGGGGTTGATTAGAAACGGGCAGGTATTTTGCAATCCTGGAAGTATTTGTATGCCTGTGGCAACTGATTAGCGATTTCAAATTAGTAGCTTAAAATTAAAACAAGCCTGGGGTTAGAATAAAAGGAGATAGCTTTTCTAGGTAAAGAAAGCTTCAATATCCCCAGAAAGCCCCTTCCCTCCCCCTCATCCTTTCTCTTCCTCTTATTACCCAGCCTCAGATTGGTTTCTGTCAGTTGGTGTGACTGATCATGTGAGTTTCCAGATTTCAGCAGGAAGGAGAAACAGTGGGAATGACTAGATATGGAGATGTCAGTCTCATGAATATTTCTGCTTCTCACAAAAAGGGATTGAATGGTTCTCAGGGACATTGTCCTGCAGTGGGACAGCCTGGCTCCTCCTCCCTTTTGTCTGCTGTGTCTTTGGAGAGGCAAGCTGCCTTCCACCCAGCACACCTGCTGCACAACACCAGGGTCTCCCATTCAGAAGAGAAAGAAAATGCCCAAGAGAGGGAAAAAGATCAAAAGAAATATTTTGTTTCCAGGGTAGGTATGGCCACAGGAACAAGGAAGTAGATAATGTGGTTGAAGTTTATAGGTGGTGGGGCTGGGGAGAGGGGGACCTAATTTTTAACAAGGAATTTTTAAAAATCTACTTGTTATAGTTCAAATACAGTTTGTTCCCTCCAAAATTTATGCTGAAATTCATTGTCATTGTGGCAGTGTAGGGAGGTGGGGCCTTTAAGAGGTAATTAAGTCATTAAGAGGGATTAAAGCCTTCTCAAGGGAATAGGTTCATTCTTGCAAGAGCAGGCTGTTCTAAAGCAAGGCCACCTCTCATGTTTTATCTCCTTCACATGCAGCCACTTGCCCTTCTGCTTTCCACCACGAGGTGAAGCAGCCCAAGACCCTCCCCAAAGCAGAGCTGCCTTACCATGTTGATGGTGTTTGGATGTGGAGTTTGTGAGAGCTAATTAGTATCAGATGAGGCCATGAGGTGGGTGGGGGGGATGCACTGATGGCATCAGTGCTTTCTAAGAAGATGAAGAGAGTTAGTACTCTTGCTCCATGGCACACGTGATCCCCTTCATCATGTGATAAGACCTCAAGAAGGCCCTCACCAGATGCTGGCACCATGAATTTGGACTTCCCAGGCTCTAGAACTGTGAACTAAATAAACATATTTTCTTTAAAAATGACTCAGACTAAGATATTCCATTATAGCAATATAAAATGGACTAAGTCTTTTGCCATTTTGCCTTCTTGGACTACTGAGCCATGATTTTGTTTGGGAAAGTGTTAGAAATTAAACCCACACTACTATCTTAGTTTGTCTTCGAAAGTTAAACAAGAGAGAAAAGAAGAACAATCTGGGTCTTTGAAAGATCTTTTTCCAGACAGGCAGTAGAAAATATGCCTTGATATGCTGGCTATCTCCCCAAGAAGTCTGGGAACAAGAAGTTTGTCTAACTCAGAATTTCTTTGTTAGTTAACTAATCTGGTGAGGTTTTATTTCCCTAACTTTTGAAAATTATTCTCCTACTGATTCCCTTTATGTTTCCATGTTACTTTTGATAAAAAGAAGCTGTCCTCTGTGCAATTTTAAGAGAAAGATAGCACTTTCATTTTGTAGGAAAAACTATTTTTTTCATCAAGTTGCCAACTAAGAACATATAGTAAACATTTAAATTCTCCAGTCTTAAAGATTACTGGCACTGTAAAACATTCATGAAGAAAAAAATAAGAAAAAGAAAAAGCTCTGACATCAGCAGATGTATTTCCAAATTTCGATTCTGCCACACAGTGACTTTGGGCAAGTCATGAAACTTTTGTAAATATCTGTTTGTCCATCCCTAAAAGATAAGGCTAGTAATAAATCTGTTGCAACAGCTCATATTGCTCTAGGTAACAAAAAATAAATTGCATCAAGGCAGAAACTATGTATTCATTTTCTTCCTTTTAATTCAAAAAATGCCTTCAGGAGACTCAGTTTAATTGGCATCTGCTGTGTCTTGAATGTGTCTCCCTACAAAATTCAGGTATTGCCAAGGTAAGGCCTTTAAAAGGTTCTTCGGCCACAGGACTCCTCTCTTAGGAATGGGATCAGTTATCTTTATAAAGGGCTTGATGGAGGAAGTTCATCCTTTTTTACCTCTCTACATTCTACCATATGAGGATGCCACATTCTTTCTTTTTAGAAGGCACAGTATTCAAGGCACCTCTTGGCAGAAGAAACCCATGAACCTGACAGACCATGAACCTGCCAGCCCACAGATAGTGGACTTCTCAGCTTCGAGAACTGTGACAAATAAATTTCTGTTCTTTATAAATAACCTAGTCTGTAATATTTTGCCATAGTAGCACAAATAGACTAGGACAGTATCCTTAATAGTACTCAGTCCAGCCAGCCCTGTAGCAGGCATTATGACAAATGACAAAGAACCGGAAAACTGAACCTATGTCTCAGAAGAACAGTCCTTCTATTGAGGAGAGGAAATATATAAATAATATGAACTAGCAAACAATCAGAGCACATATACACAAGTTATTAGATGTTTTGGTATAAACAGCAGGTACCAAGAAAGAGGATGAGAAAGAGATGGTTTTATTTAGGCCTTTATTACATATAAAAATCTTAGTAGCAAAAGAAAAACTGCTATAAAAATAAACAAATCCATGGGACTTGCTTAATCAGAAGAATATGGTTTAAGATTTGAAGGTAGAAGTGAACAGAGCACATGTCTTCTGGAAACTAACCTAGCCGGAGCGGACAGGCTCACTGAGGAATATGGCTCGAAAAAGTATATTGGGACCAATTGACAGAGCCTTGAATATTAGCTTAACTAACATAAAAGAGAATGAAAACAGAATTTTGGAGAGGATTTTACTATTCAGGGTCAAAGTTTAGTTCTGGAACTTGGTTGGACTCAGGGAGTGGAGGTGATTTGGGTTGTTTGTGCTTACCGAGTGCTTCCTTCTAAGGTACACACTCCACGTCGAACACTCCTCTACCCACAGATGGTTTGATAAAACCAGTTTACCTATGGGTGGTTTGATCCATATTAACTAAACTCAGGAAAGACTGGTGCATAAAAGCCAATTTAATTAATTTCAAAATTTAGAAAGTTACAAATAATCATTAAAATGAAGGTGGTATATGTATATTAAATAACTCAACTTTTCTAGCTTCTCTCGAATAGGAGGATAATTCTGGAAAATGAAACCAATATCATAAAACGTATTGATCATCCATCGACTGAGTATTTGCTAAGCCTATACTAAGTGAGAAGCACTTTGGTGAGAAACTGCAGGGTCCTGCTGAGATCTGACAATGGTTTATGACATCGGAGATGGAAGAAGTAGGCCTCAGGAGATGGGCTAAGAACAGAAGACAAGATCTAAGACATGAAGGACTCTGTATGTTCTGTGAAGGAGCACAGGTGTCTTTCTTTCTATAATCACAAGGCCCTGCAATATTTCAATAAATTTGGAAAATTTATTAATTTTTAATTATGTTATTTAATTTAGTACAGCATTAATACCTTGGTAAGTAGTCACAATGTTACCTACTATAGAATACATATTTTTGCACCAATGATGCTACTGGGTACTAAGTTTTGAGTGTAAAAATGAACCACAACCTGAATTATCACTGTTATCTACAGGAGTTCTTTTTATAAACAAAGAAGTTGGGGTTATACATTTCCAAATCAAGGAACAGATTAAATCTAAAGTAAAGGGAAAAAGCAAAATGGAATAAAATTAGCATTAGATGAATGACAGTGATATAAGTGGATTTGTCTATCAAACGATGCCTCCTTACAAAGTTTTCATTTAATTTTTGATAGTGAACACATTTACATGGCTCAAAACAAAAAAAAAATGAAAAATATGTATGGTGAATCATGATACCACCCAACCCTATCTATCTACACCCACTCTCCAGTCCCTTTTGACAAGCACTTTATTAGTGTTGTAATCTTTCTGTCCTTGTTATTTGTTTGTTTGTTTTTAATGCATACCCCAAGTACATTTTGGTAAATATAAAATTTGGGGAAAAAGGAGGAAAAAACTAACATTACCAGGCAACCACTACTTGCCAGAGACTATTGGGTGTTTTCCCGTAAGCAAGGTCACCAATTCCTTACAGCAGCTCTCCACCTGTCACAAGATGTGCCTTCTTGTCAAGTACTTTAGAAGTCCTTTCTTACACTCCTCTGCTTCTGTAGTCACATCCAACACACCTTTTGAGTCCTATATTTCAACAATGGCCCACTTTATGACATTTTTGTTGTTGTTGTTGTTACCAGAGATTGAACCCTCGGGCACTTAATCCCCGAGGCAACCCAGCTCTTTTTATTTTTTATTTTGAGACAGGGTCTCACTAAGTTGCTGAGGCTGGCTTGGAACTTGCAATCCTCCCGCCTCAGCCTCCTGAGCCGCTGGGATTACAGTCATGTGCCACGGTGCCTGGCCCTTCGTGACATCATTAAAATACACACCTTTCAGGGTCATTTTGAGGATGTGAGTTGCCAGGGCAGCACACAGCATCTAGCAGGTGCTCTCCAAGTGGAAGCTGTTATTACTCCAAGGCCTCTGGGAGAACTTCCTGCAGGCTGAGCTCATTGGACAGGTATTGATTTCTACTTAACTCCTTGAGATGACCCCCTTCTTGGATTTGGTCTATTCTGATGCCAACCTTACCCCTCAGTGAGTAATAACCACTGTCTATTCCTTATAGTAACAGAAATAAATCTAGGAATTAGGTGACCAGACCTCTCAGACAGCCACATTTAAAACCTCAAGACAAGAACTGCCACCTTCAACCTGCATCAGGATTTGCAAACTTCTATTAAGGACCAAATAGTAAATATTATAGGCTTTATAGGGTTTTGTTAGAAACTACTCAACCTTACATTGTAGCATAAATCAGCCTCTGAAAGAAATGAATGTGGTTGTGTTCCAACATGACTATTAAGGACACTGGCATTTGAATTTATACAATTTACATGTATAACAAAAATATTCTATTTAAAATTTTTTCCAGCCACATAAAAATATAAAAATCATTCTTAGCTCATGGGTCATATACAAACAGGTGGTGTGCCAGATAGGACCTGTGGGACATAGTTAGGCAACTTCTACTCTAAATGAGGATTTGATAACCTGGTCAAACAACTCAGTCTGTCTCTGTCTCTGTTGTCTCTCTTTCTCCTGTCATCATGAACAAGCAGTTACAGAGAAACTAAAGGCCCTTTTAGAAGAAATATTTCTACTTATCCAGGGAGCTGTGATTTTATTTCTCTCAACAGCAGCTTAGGGTTTTGTAAATACAAGTTAATGATTCATATACAAATTTAGATCCAGGTTTGAGTTGAGTTGATATTAACTAAATGAACTTGATGCTGGGGAAAAAAATCATAGTTTGTCCAGCTGCTAGGAAATCAAACAACATCGGAAGCTGAAAGCCTGTAATTACTTCATTTGGAAAGCAAACCTGAGGAGAAGGTAAGGTGTTCTTATACCTTGCTTCTCCCTTATGTGTCCCTTACAGGCAGGGGGCTCTATAAATTGCACACAGCTTGCCCAAGGCATCTTGGCTGAACAGGGAACTCAGGAACACCCTGCTCTGGGGTCTTTGCACTGGCTGGGAGTCCAGAGGTCAGACTCCTTGGGGATAAACACAGCCACTGATATCTCTCTGGAACACTGTGAAGCAGCTTCTGTCCCCTTCCAAGTCTTTAGCAGCAATGTCTCTGTATCTTACTTCCAACCACCATCATCTGGCACCTCTCCCTCCCCACTGCTGTGACTCCCTTATGAACTCTAGCCCCTAGAAATGAAAGTCATGGAGGACATTGTCTGTGAAGACCTTCTGCTTTCCTCAATATGGCCTTCCCCTTGATAGGGAAGCCCAAATGCCTTACTCATTGCTGGGAAATGGCTAGAGAAAAATAGTTTAATAATTCCATAAATTTTCCTATGACACAAGTATCTCCTTATCTTTTGGAAGTCAACCATTCCACAGCAGAAAATAATTGGCTCCCATTTACTCAGGAAAATTCCATCTGCTCCTGTGAATTTTTCATAGTAATGGCCTCTTGGAAACAAGACCTAGAATGCTGGGGTGACCAGTGAATGCTTCAAGAATTCATTTTAGAAACTTTATTGTTAGTACAGAAACCAGCCCTTCACCTTGCTTTTAAAAAGGTTGAAAATTTGGAATTTTGATGAAGAAATATTTGAACTGGGTCTGAAAGGATGACAATGGGCAAAAAATGAGTGGGGAGTTGGAAATGAACAAAAGTATGGGGGAGCTGGTTTGGTGGCGCACACCTGTAATCTCAGGGACTGGGGAGGCAGAGGCAGGATGATTACAAGTTCAAAGCCAGCCTCATCAATCTAGTGAGGCCCTAAGCAACTCAGTGAGACCCTGTCTCCAAATAAAAAATAAAAAGGACAAGGGATGTTGCCCAGTAGTTAAGCACCCCTGTATTCAATCCCTGGTACCAAGAAGAAGAAGAAAAAAAAGTATGGGAAAGTGAAGGCATCAGACAATTTAAGCAGAGAGCTTGTCCACCTCATTCACCATGATGTTCTTCAGCACTGGAAGAAGAGCTGGCTCTGTGAGTATTTGTTTAATGAATGAGTGGATGGATGCATTTTTGTAGCCAGGAGAGAGGAATAAGACTGGAAACACAGGCCTATCAGTCAGGTCTCAGTAGGAAACAGAATTTCCCCCAGATAATTCAAGAGAAGGGATTTTAACAAAAGGATGTCCGAAAGAGCTTGGGTAGGGTTAAGGGAAGAAATAGAGATGTCGAAGCATCCAGACCCTAGCCACCAGGGACGCATAACACCTCTAAAGCTGAAGGGGCAAGAACATGGTGTAGTTACCTCCAGAGAAGTGCACTCAAGTAGGGAGGGCAAGAGGAAGAAGGGTGCTGCCCCTTCTCCTCCTACCCCTGGTTCTCCTGCCAGTGTCTCCTGGTAACTGAACCCAGCTAAAAGAAGCCAGACAGCCTGAGAGCATGGGAGTGACATTTTGGAGACTGGATCTGGGTAAAAGAAGCAACATAATCACCATCCATAACCGGAGCTGAAATATAAAGCCGGTTTAAAAACCAAATTCTGCCTTCATTTCCCTAGGCCTTCCATTCATTCCTTATTCTCTAGAGGTGTCCCTGACCCAGTCAGCTCTTGTCAACTGGATTGGTAAACTATTAGTTCCTGAAGATTTTAGATGAGGAACTAGCACAAAAAAAGGTTCAGGAAAGTTTATCTATGTGCACATTCCAATCCTGCCACTCCTTATGTGTAAACTGTGGGCTCATTACTTCAAATTCTGTGTCTCAGTTTCCATGTCTGTAAAGCGAAGGAAATTATAGTAGCTATCTCACAGTGTGGTTGTAAGTATCCAAAGAGATAGTCCAAGTAAAACCCTTAGGTCTGATGGCATTGCTCTTTTTAAAGCCTTTCTTGGTTGAGATTTAAACAAATTTGTCTTTTATTGAAGAATTTACTGTCAAATCAGGGTTAAAGTGAGGTCTTAAGGAATTTGGCAATTTGACTTTGACCAGGCAATTTTACTTGCTTTTGTTTATGCTGGCTGGCTTCCTTAGGCATTGGTTTTTCCTCCTTTGAATGACAGTAGGATGTTAGAGAGGCTTTAGTTAATACCAATAAAGTCCACCTACATGGGCTCTCAACATACAGCTGCGATTTAGCTTCCAGTGCATTTCTGAAAATTGCTTCCTTGGCATTTCAGCATTTTATTTGAAAGAACAACTGAAGCAGAAAGGAAATCAAGCAACAACAGGAGGACTTGGTTTTTGAACTCATTAGTTGGCAAGCTGAAAAATTTGCTTAGATCAGTTGGGTTTTCAAATGTGAGAATGGGCTTCTGATAAGAAAGTCAGTAGCTACAGTCCCAGTCTGTACTTCCTTCTTTTCCTAACAAGGTTCATGTGCCTTGTTAATAGGTAAGATGTGTGGAGCTGTGGAGTGCTGTGTGCCCCTGTTTATGCCATCATTAAAATTTGAACAGACACACATTTTATGGAAAGGCTGACTCTAATTATGATTTTTATCCCCTCTTTGGTTTCCAATATTTTTTCATAGCATTGCTATAAAAGAAACCTTGTTTTGGCTGTGTTCTTAATGAATATTTGTGGAAATTTCTAAAATTATAAATGCATTTACAGTTCTGACATCAACTTAACTTACATAGATTAAATAATAAGAGGATGTAAAAGTTTCAATTTCATTTTGATACCAGATACTTGTGGTTATTTCAATATGTAGGTGATCCTTCATGATAATTCTTAAAGATAAGCAGGTTATTATCATAATATATGCTTTATACAAGTAAATGACTTGTACGTGACTACTTCTCGAATGAGGGAATATTTTAAAATGTACCTAACAATCCTATCTCTTGGGCTATGAAAGCCCTTAAACAATGATTCTCAAGGACTTTCTCTGTCATTGCTTAATAATATTCAAGGCCTACAGACAGTTCAGAATTACATTTTTAAAATGGTATATACTATATAATTATAGTTCCATTTTTTATAAGGCAGCAAACCCCATTGTATAGCAACATGAAAGGAAATGCACCAAACTCTTAGCAGTGGGTTCTTTCTTTTTCAGTCTCATGGGTCAATTTTATTACCTTTACAGTAGTTCTAAATGGAAGATAGGAATACAGGAAAGGTTTAAAAACAATGCTAATCCCTCCTCAGGGACATCTGAGTCTTTTTTTTATATATATACCTCCCTTTTACAGTGTGGTGTCAGAGGCTGTCTGGATTTGAATCCTGATTTCCTCACTTAGCATTGTATGACCTTGTATAAGTACAGACATCTCTCTGTGCTCAATGCAATCATCTGAAGACAGGGGTAGTAGAGATCTTCAGTGACCTAGCAAGATCCTGTCTCCCAAAATAAAAAAATAAAAAGGGCTGAGGACATAGCTCTGTGGTTGAGGGCACCTGGATTCAAGTCCCAGTCCCACATAAAAAAACTGGGGAGGGGAGTAGTAATACTTCTCTCATGGAGCTGTTGTGAGACTAAATGAGAAAATACTTAAGAACAGTGGCAGGGACTCACTTGGAATCAATAAATGAGAGCTATTATTTTATCATTTATAATTAACCTGTTTCTAATCCCATCTCTTGTGGTGGAATGTGACCTCCTGGGATAGTCTCTGACCCTCCTTTCTTTCAGCCTTTGGTGTTCAGAATCTGCTTTGAAGCTGTTCTGAGCCTGTCTGCACTGATCCATTCGTTAGCAAGTGGTCAGTTCATGGTGACACCTCTATAGGTCCACAAGAAGTCCTTTAGGGGTGTTATTCTAAAACATCCACCTTCCTAGTACTTGAAACTTCAATCGCCTTCCAGAGTCTTACATGGGTCATGAAGACTAGGTGACATCTGAATCACAAATTGATTCTCAGGGTCAAGAGTATTTGGTCTGTATAGAAAGTCAAGGTTTATAAACCAGTCAGTATCTTTATCTGGCATCACTCTCCTCCTCAGCAGCTGCCCCCCAAACCTACTCTGCATGAAGTTGTCCTGGCCTCAACATTATTTTTCTGGAAAAACCAGGAGTATATATAAATGGCTGGACCTTCAGAGAGACTGATTTTCTAAAATTTTTCCCAAATTTATTTTTATTTGATTTTTAAAATGAATAGTATTTTGAAAGAGCATAACCTATAATATAAGGCTTATTTCGAATTCTTAGGATGATGATGCTAATTTTCAATTGATATGTGTAATTGCTAATACTTGTCTCTCTGTATAGAGCTTCCTCTTTCCATGTTTTAGCTCCAAATCTTGCCCTCTCGTCGATGCAAAATGCGTGCTTTTAAAATACCCCACCACCCACACACATACACACACTCCACACACATGCACATCTCTATGTTTACTTTTTTGAGCAAAGGTGAGATGCATGATCATATCTCTTTTTAAAGATGAGACAGCCAGAAGAAAAGGCAAACAAATCACATTGGGAGGAACCTTCAAAGGGCTGTGTCCTAGCATCTCTAACTGCCTTTTATTAACCCATTATGGGTTATTACTTCATTAAATGAAACTATTAAAATACCCATGGGTTGAAGTGGGAGAAATGGATTGGCTAGAATCAGCAAGTACCTGTAAATAAGGTATACCAGAGGGAATTTGGTACAGGAGAGAAGGGTGAGTCATAGCACACATTAACTAGTACTTACATAATGTCTAATAAGTTACAAAGTGATTTAACATACTGGAAGAGAATGAACAGAGGGAGTGAAGAAAATGGTAGAGAATTAGATGGGGTAGGGAGGCTTCCGTATGTCACATGGACTTTAGACCCCAAATCGCCTTGCTTTAATTTTAAGTTACCTGAGATAATGAAAAACATGAGGACTACAGATACCTGGATATCCCCTTAATTATTTTGCAATGGAAAATGGTTCAAAATCTGCCTTACAGTTTGTGATCTCTGATATCTTTATTCCT